GTTCTCCTTTAGCTTGGAGAAGTTTGATCGTCTGAAGCCTTCCTTCTCTCAACTCATCAAAGTCATTCTCCATCCAGCTTTGTTCTGTGCTGTGAGGAGCTGCGTTCCTTTTGGAGGGGGAGAGGCGCTCTGATTTTTAGAATTTTCAGCTTTTCTGCATTGCTTTTTCCCCATCTTTGTGATTTTATATACCTTTGGTGTCTGATGGTGGTGACGTACAGATGGGGTTTTGGTGTGGATGTTCTTTCTATTTGTTAGTTTTCCTTGTAACATTCAAGACCCTCAGCTGCAGGTTTGTTGGAGTTTGCTTGAGGTCCACTCCAGGTCCTGTTTGCCTGGGTATCAGCAGCACAGGCTGCAGAAGAGTGAATATTGCTGAACAACAAATGTTGCTGTCTGATCGTTCCTCTGGAAGCTTCATCTCAGAGGTGTACCCAGCCCTGTGAGGTGTGAGGTGTCAGTCTGCCCCTAGTGGGGGATGTCTCCCAGTTAGGCTACTCGGGGGTCAGGGACCCACTTGAGCAGGCAGTCTGTCTGTTCTCAGATCTCAAACTCCATGCTGGGGGAACCACTACTCTCTTCAAAGCTGTCAGACGGGACATTTACATCTGTAGAGGTTTCTGCTGCTTTTTGTTTGGCTATGCCCTTTCCTCAGAGGTGGGGTCTACAGACCTCCACCCAGTTTGAGCTTCCCCGCCGCTTTATTTACCTACTTAAGCCTCAGCAATGGCGGGCTCCCCTCCCCCAGCCTCGCTGCTGCCTTTCAGTTAGATCTCAGGCTGCTGCGCTAGCAATGAGGGAGGCTCTGTGGGTGTGGAACCCTCTGAGCCAAGCATGGGATATAATCTCCTCTTGTGCCATTTGCTAAGACCCTTGGTAAAGCGCAGTATTAGGGTGGGAGTGACCGGATTTTCCAGGTGTTGTGTGTCAAGGTTTCCCTTGTCTAGGAAAGGGAATTCCCTTCCCCCTTGTGCTTCCTGGGTGAGGTGATGCCTCACCGTGCTTTGGCTCTCGCTCGTTGGGCTGCACCCACTGTTCTGTACCCACTGTCCAACACACCCCAGTGAGATGAACCCAGTACCTCAGTTGGAAATGCAGAAATCACCCATCTTCTGTGTCGCTCATGCTGGGAGCTGGAGGCTGGAGCTGTTCCTGTTTGGCCATCTTGGAACCCTAAAGGGAATTATCGCTATTTTTTTTTTTTAACTTTTACATGGATGTCCTGGAAATTTGTATATATAAAATCTTTATATAAAATACACAAAATCTGTTTTTTTTTTTTTTTTGTGTTTTTTTTTTTTTTTTGAAACTAAGCTTTCCACTCTTCCCACAATATGATATTGTTTTTCAGATTTTCCAAATAAAACTGCGGTGAATATTTTAAAATAGTTTTTCTTCCCCTCTTTTGAGTCATTTTGTTGGGTCAAGTCTGCAGATGGGGAATTGCTGGGTCAAAGATTATCAGCATTTTTGAGGCTCTTGATGTGCATTGGCAAAATGTTTTGCAAAGGACTTGTTTCCAGCAATCCTCATTTACATTGTTTTAGCAACATACATGAGATTCTTTTTATTTTTTTACTGCAAACCCACTAACAGTGAATATTACAAGAAAAAGGTTTCTGAGCTCATTTACAATGGATAAATGATTTCTTCTGTACTTTTTAAAAAATCACTTTCACTTTTAATTCAAGTTGCAGGGATAAAATTTTAAAAAAAATCTGAAATAATTTCAAACTAATAGAAACATTTCAAATATAGTACAAAACCCCTATTTTTATCCTTATCTAGGTTTTCCCAATATTAACAAAATCTACTCCCCCCACCCCACTCCTGTACATATCCATTATCACTAATCTTTTGAAAACCTTTTAAGAAGTTGCAGGTATGGTACCCTATTACCCCTAACTACTCCATTGTATTTCTCAGAACAAGAACATTCCTGTGTAAGCACCATTGACCCTCCAACTTTGGAAGTTAGCATTGATAACAATACTGCCATCCAGATCATGGACCCCAGTCAAATTTTACCAACTGCAATCATCTAGAAAAATGTGCTGTAAGGCTGGGCACCATGGCTCATGCGTATAATTCCAGCACTTTGGGAAGCCAAGGTGGGTGGATTGCCTGAGGTCGGGAGTTCGAGACCAGCCTGGCGAACATAGTGAAACCCCATCACTACTGAAAATACAAAAGAGTTAGCCAGCATGGTGGCAGGCGCTTGTAATCCCAGCAGGAGAATGGCTTGAACCCTGGAGGCAAAGATTGAAGTGAGCTGAGATCGTGCCATTGCACTCCAGCCTGGGCAACAAGAGTGAAATTCTGTCACAAACAAACAATCAACAACAACAACAAAAAAAAGTGCTGTAATAATCTATCTTGTCTTTTTTGGCCTTCTGCAGTTTGGAATATTTTCTCAGTCTTTGGAATATTTTCTCAGTCTTCCCTTATGTTTTGGGTCCTTGGCAGTACAAAATCTGTTTTGAATTAAGTTTTTCAACATTTACTGGATTAAGTGCTTTGTAATAATTATTGACATTTACTTCCTATTTCTTCTGAAGAGATATTTTTGATATAGGTTAGAGTGCACATTAAGAGGCAGGAAGAAGGCACAATACTAAATTTCTCTCATCAATTTGTGATTCTTCCCTCTACTTCTATATATAGATCACTCCAGGGAGAGCTTCCCCCTCACCTTCTCTACATCCTCTGTATTTACCCCAACTCTTCACTCAGTTCTAAAGTCCATAGTCTTGTGAACTGTGATGAAGGTTACAGGAGAATCATTTTTGGAGATAAAATTGCTTTAGTTCTCTTTAGTCTTCCACTCCCTGACCTTAGAATGACCATGGAGTAACTCCAATAGTATCATGTAGATTCCCTGAATATTGTATAGTATAGATGTGTCATCTTTGTTCTTAATAGGTATAATAAAAACATACTCCTATTTTCTTTTATAAAATAACACAACTCAAGAGGGATAGATAATAGGTTCTGAAAGTTGCTGATGATCCAGATGGAAAATTCATAAATACTGTATTTTAAAATATAGTACACATAAAGAATATTTAGTATCACTTACACCTCTATCTATTTCAAAATTAGGGTATTTTTTTTACTTTAGGTTCATTAACAATAGTTACTATTTTATTAATATATGACTATCAGTTTGAAAAAGATTTTATTTAAAGATTTTAAATTTTGTTTCTTACAGGCTTTGACACTGGTTTATTTGGAATTATTTTACAAATTAAACACACAAAGTATTCACTTTTAAGAAGAAATACAAACATTTTTCTTAAAAAAGCCTTTCTTAAAAGTAATCTGTAGACTGTGGAATGTAGTATAATATGAATTCTACACAATTAAAGCTTTGGTAACTCAGTATCACTAATGATATCACTGTAGCATAACCTCTGTTACAAATTGTCTTTATATGTTTCTACTTTCAAATAAGATAAATTCAGGATTAATTGGTAAAAAAGTCTAAATTATTGGTTAAATGAAATGAAGTTTTAATAATTTTAAGCTCATATTATAAAACATGCCACTACTAAGTAGGCAGATATTTCTAAGATTCTCTCCTACAGGATCATAATGATAACTTATTTTAAGTTGGTATCAAATCCTTAGAGGGCTATTATCCTTAGGTGCTATTTTTAGTTATTCAAAGACGACAAAGTATAATTTTTTTCCAGCATATTTTTTCTATAGTTACTTTTACTGTATAAAGTTACTGTGTAACTTTTATCTTAGGTGTAACAGTTTCATACAAAATCCTTATCTATTTCTTAATGATATTTTGAGGCTTATTACGTTATAGCAATTTATAGCTTACTGGGACAAGAAATTTTAAAAGCTTTGCACATTTTGTCTTTTTATTGTTTCCCTGTTCAATTCATTAAGAACATGAATAGTATTACATGATATAAACTGTGATTTGATATAATGCCATTTATCAACTATAGTAAATTTTTAAAACAGATGGCTCACTTAGTACTCCCAAATAAATGAAAATTAATATAATAAAATACGAGTAATTGAAGAATAAAAGTGGATAACAAGTACATGGACAGTGTTCATTACTGGTATTTCCTTAGTGAATGTGGTTTATAAAATTCTGATATGTCCCATCAAACTTAAACTTGTTACAGCACTGAAAAATGGGCAAGTAGACCAAATGTTCCTAAGTATATTTCTTAGCAGAAAGCAATCTAAAGTAGCAGCATTTTTATTAAACTACAAAAATATTTTGATATTTATGATTTATTGTACAATTCATAAAGAACAATTTAGGGTACAGTTCTATTGTAGTGTGATAATTAATGATACTGTAAGTAGGAGACCATCTTTTTCAGACTTGTAGTCCATTGGAGAACTGGAAATTTAAATTGGCAGCTTATAACAAGATTTTAAATTATATTTTATTAAACTGAAAGGAATAGGTGGGATGAAAACAAAATATCATATAAAGAAGTTATTAATAAAACATTTTTTCAGTTATATATACAATATGTATATGCATACATAAACATATACTCACTGTATACATATTACATGTGTATATGTATATTAATGAAGTATATGTAAGTGTGTACACAGAAACAAATTTATACATAAAATATATAGGTCTGAGTACAGGATCAGGGTCATTTTTTTATTTACTATGAGTCTTGGTCATCAAAGTTTGAAAGACACCGAAAAAGAAATTAATTTTATTCTTGTTTTAGGATATATGAAAGGGATGTTAGTTAATACCTATGTGAAGTCCATTTATCTCTTAAAAAGAAGTTGAAGGCTATAAAAAGATATCTAGTTTGAGAAATAATGGGTTGATTAACAGTAACCTAAATGATGCTGAAGGATAAAGCAGAACAAAATATTTCTGACTCATGATATGGAGAACATTAAATACTAGTGAAAAAAAAAAAAAAGGAATTCTCAAACACAAGGAGTTACCTCACATCCAGAAGTATTTTTGTGGAAGAAGCATTGGTACTAACCATATTCTATTGCAGCTTTGAGCAATGCCTCAGCATGAGTGGAGCCAAATGCATTGCGAACAAATCGTCTCCTTCGACGAAGATCATCTTCCCAGTAATCCAAACGCCAGAAATCATGCAATTGGCTAAGAGTAGAGGGAAAAAAAGTAATCCCTATTAATAACAATGTATAACTGGAAATACATTTTTCTATAAAATTGAAGTTATTTTGTTGGTCTCATTGAAAAATTAAGATAATGTGTATATATATATGCACATTATATATATATACACAAATACAAGTGTGAAATATACGTATATATATATTCCCTCTACAACTGAAAAAGACTTAAAATAATAACATTCTTATATTTCAGGCATTATACCACTCAGCTCTGCTTTTTATTTTTTAAATTTTCTTATTTCCACTAAAAGCATTAATCATGTGGAGTTTAGTAACAAATGCAACATCAAATTACAAGTATTAATGGTACAGTTTGTTTCTTTTACACTATTTTTAACAAGGGTTGTAAATCACAGACTACACCTCACTACAAATAGTTTACAATTTAATGACCATGGTTTCTTAGTAGGCTGAATTAAGAAGTATAAAATATTGCCCACTTGGATTTGGTGGAAAAATGATTAAAATAATGCACTGAAATATTCATTGAAATAATTCCCCACTGCCCACAGCAACCTGAGAAAAATGCAATTTTATCCATTATTAATAATACTGAATTAGAGCTGCAAAAATTTCCGGTATGTGGTAATTGTCTTGGTAAATTATTATTCTAATGCTAATAGAGTTCTTGGGTGATTTTACAGCTTTCAACTAATATAAACCATTAATAGCTATGGCCAACACTGGCCATCACTGTCTTTTATACTCCAAACCAATACTAAAAATCCAGGAGATATTTCAGAAATGATGTAAATAGGCCCATTATATAGCCAATGAAATATTTTGTGATAATGATACAATTTTTGTTTTTAGTTTAATTTCAGTAAACATTAGTAATAAATACCACTGCTTAAGAAGTCAATTTTTAAAATATTCTAATTTTCCAGAGCAGCAGTATTCATAAAAACATATAAAATACTTTCCTAGAAGATTTCACTTCATTAATTATTTTGATATTTTACTGTAGAAGAACACTTTAAGTCTGATTAAGGCAGGACCTATGTATGTTTTGCTCATCATTATATTTCTAGCACAATGTCTGGCACACAGCATGTTTTTACTAAATATTCACTGAATTAATGAAAACATTTTTTTAATTTCAAAAAAAACTATGGATTTTTTCAATGTCTGGCCATTGAGAAAAATAATTTCATTTTGAAAGGCATTTTAGATTTTATGGCTATATAATTTTTTATCTATAATTTCATTATAAAAACCTGATAGTATAAAGGGCATATAAAAATAACTAAAATTGTAAGTCTTTAAAGTATACTTTAATGCACTTATTTTTCCTGTACATCATAATTATAACTTAATTCTTCTGTTAAATAATGATTACTTGATGAATAATAGTAATAAATAGTATATCTCTCTAATTTAAAATAGGATGATTTCTATCCTTACAAATACAAACTAACCCCAGTAATTTAAGGAAGACCATGCTAAAATCAGGCTATATTGATTTTCAGTAAGATTATGTTAAAATTAAGTAACTGAATTCACCAAAAGCGGTCAGAAATCTAATGTTATCTAAAATTTCTAGCCCTAGACATAGTGTTCCCTATTCTTCTGTAAGGGCAGCTGAACAGTTCTGGAAAGGATATATAAAACAAGCATAAGAAGACTCTGAAGACCTGAACCACACAAATTCTAGAAGATGACACTGGAAAAACTCTTCTAGACATTGGCTTAGGCAAAGACTTTGTGACCAAGAACCCAGAAGCAAATGTAACAAAAAAAGGATAAATAGATGGGACTTAATTAAACTACAAAGCTTCCTTTCGCACAGTAAAAGAAATAATCAGTAAACAGACAGTGGGAGAAAATTTTCATAATCTATACATTGGGCAAAAGGAATCCAAACAAATCAGCAAGAACAAAACAAACAATCCCATTGAAAAGTGGGCTAAGGATATGAATAGGCAATTCTCAAAATAAGATATACAAATGGCCAACAAACCTATGAAAGAATGCTCAATATCATTAATTATCAGGGAAATGCAAATCAAAACCACAATGCAATACCACTTCGCTCCTCCAAGAATGGACATAATCAAAAAAATAAAAATAAATAGATGTTGGTGTGGATGTGGTGAGAATGTAAACATTTTACGCTGTTGGTAGGAATGTAAACTGGTATAACCACAATGAAAAACAGTGTGGAGATTCCTTTAAGAACGAAAAGTAGATCTACCATCTGATCCAGCAATCCCACTCCTGGGTATCTACTCAGAGGAAAAGAATTCATTATACAAAAAAGATAGTTGCACACAAATGTTTATAGCAGCACAATTTGCAGTTGCAAAAATATGAAACCAGCCCAAATACCCATCAGTCAATGAGTGGATAAAGAAAATGTTATATATATACACACACGTATATATATATACACGTATATATACACACATATATACATATATATGTACACACACACACACACACATACTTTGGGGACTCAGGGGAAAGGGTGGGAGGTGGCTGAGAAATAAAAGACTACACATTGGGTATAGGGTACGCTGCTCAGGTGATGGGTGCACCAAAATCTCAGAAATCACCACTTATAGAACTTATTCACATAACCAAATACCGCCTGTTCCCCAGAAACCTATTAAAATAAATTTAAAAAAAGAGAAGACTCTGAAAGGCGAGAGAAAGTAGACTGACTGAGGACCTCAGGACCTAAGGAACAACATATTGATCAGTTCTTTTTGCTTCATATATCCCACACTTGGAAGCAAAGAGGCCAACAGCCCAGATAGACAAATGAGTGCAGACAAAAAAAAAAAAAAAAAAAAGCCCCGGCAAAAGCCTGTTCCCTCTAGTCAAAGGACGAGAAAAGAGCAGATTAGCAAGATGGAAAACTTTTAGACAACTGCTATACTCCAGCCAAACATCACAGAAAACTTGCATCCCCACCTGACCTACACCAGCAAAGGATGGCTGTGAAGCCCAGACATGTACCCTCATGAAGGTGTAATGAGATACCCAACATCCTTGCTGGGTGTTATCAGAGACCACCAAGTAGGCAGCCAGGACTTCATCTCTGCTGGCTGGTAACAAGGTGCCCCACTCACATGGAGTCAGTGGAGACCATGTGGAGAGGTTGGCTTTCCACCTCCCATTGGATAGTAATGGGGCATCCCTCCCCCTCCCCACTGGGGTAGTGTCAGCGGAAGCCTACTGCAGAGTCAGGACGTCCACTGCTGACAAACAACAATGAGGCCAGCCCACCAGTGGACATCACATGGGGACCGGAAACTCCCACCCTCATCAAGCAGTATAAAAAGAGCCCCTGACTCACTGGGTTTCAATGGATGACAAGTGAAGAACTTAGATTTCTACTACCATGTAGCAGATATAAGACAGTGTCCCCTCTTCCAGATGAAGCATGTTATAGAAAGTCTAAATAGAAGGTTTAAATAAAATAAATTATCTCAGAAAAAAATAAGAAAAGGTCCAGGTTTCAATCTAAAATCACTTGTCATACCAAGAACCTGGAAAATCTCCAAGGGTATGCAAAAAGATCACCCCAAAATGCCAACATTGAAATGGTGAAGAATTTAAAGCAGCCATGATTGACAATATGCTTCAATATGCAATTATGAAAATATTTGAAATGAATGAAAAAAAAATAGCCTTAGCAAAGAAATAGAAACTCTCAGAAAAGAAACAGAAGACGTAAGGAAGAACCAAATGGAAGTTTTTGAACCGACATTATATAATAACCAAAATAAAAGCTCAGTAGATGTGCTCAACAGCAGAATGGAAGGGACAGAGGGAGGAATCACTTAATTGGAAGACAGGATAATAGAAATTATGCAATCCAGATAACAGAAGGAAATAGATGAAAAAGTGAACAGAGCCTTCGGGATCTGTGGAGCACAACATTTAGCATTTGTGTCACTGGAATCCTAGAAGGAGAGGAGAAAGTAGGCAGAGCCGAAACAATGTCTGAAAAAATAATGGCGGAAAACTTTCTAAATTTGGCAAAAACATAAATGTACAGATTTAAGTAGCTGACTGAACTTCAAACTAAATCCAAGGAAGTCCATGCTGAGACACATCATAATTAAATTTCTGGAAACTGAGGGCAAAGAAAGTCTAAAGAGCAGCCAGAGAAAAATGGCATCTAATTTCTAGAAGTAAAACAATTAGAATGACAACATATTTTACATCAGAAACAATGATGACCAGAGGAAGTGGCAAAATACTTTTTAGGTGCTAAAAGAAAAGAACTGTCAACCCCAAATCCTATAGCCAATGAAGACACCTCCAGGAATAACAAGTGAATATGTCTTTAGATGAAGTAAAAGCTAGAATATTTATTGCCATCAGATGTAGTCTAAAAGAAAGGCTATAGGCAGTTCTGTAAACATGAGGGAAGTAATAGAAGAAACACTGAAACATTAGGGAGGAAGAAAGAACACAATAAGCAAAATATGACTATCTATAATAGGCTTTCCTTTTCCTCTTGAGTTTTCTAAATCATGTTCTACTGTTGAAACACAAATTGTATGTGTTTCATACAATTTAGATTAGAACCACTTAGATGTGGTTCTAAGTGTATTTACTGGTAATATTTAGGATAAATATATTATAAATGGGGGGAGGCAAAGGGATGTGAAGGGACGTAAAGTGTCTATATTTCACATGGACTGATAGAATGATAGCACCAGTAGACTGATAAGGCTATGCATAAAAAATGTAATGCTTAGAGCAAACACTAAAAAATTTACACAAAGGGATATATTAAGAAATGTAGATAAATCAAAACAGAATTCTAAAAAATGACCAAGTCACCCACAGGAAGGCAGAAAAAGAAAACCTCTTGATTTAAAAAAGAATTCTCAAGGGAAAGAACACAGAACTGAATGAAAATCACAATAAAAAAATCAACACTTGTTGCACACAACCAAAGTAGGACTGAGAGGGTAATCTATAGTATTAAATGCATATATTAGA